CGCAAGTTTCGAACTCAGATTGGGATGGCGATTCTCGACCAGATCATACGTTTCACGATGTAGTGATTCCTCCTCACTCTTCGAAAAAAGCACGACAGGAGTTAAATAGTACACCAATGGGAGGTCCAAAAGCTGGAAAATGGCTTATGACCGTGGTGCAAGATGGACGAGAACAGTTTACTCAAGAGGTCGTACAGAAATGGGATTTTGATGGGCATAAAGAAGAACGTATTGAAAAAGAAAATGACTACTATGTTGTTGTAAGTGGAGGCCTTATCGCCATTCACAACAAGCGAGATCCTTAAAATCAATGCAGCAGTTCCTCCTGATCCATTACGGCTGCTACTTCTTTTTTTTTCTTTTTACTAAATTATTTTTAAAGCCGATGATATTGTACTCATTTTGCCTATTTTAATAAAATCAGTTTAATCGCGCATTTCTTATTAGAACTAACTACAACTCACTAGTGCTGCTGTTTACGGTTCGCGTTTTTAGCGGATCGAATTCAACCAGGATCGGTGAAAGTTTTGAATGGAATAGATTTAATTCAGAATCGGAAATCAAAAGTATTCTTCTATACGAAAAAGTGGCCCAGTAAGAAGAGAAAAGAATACCTCGCCTTCCGAAAAAACTCTAAACAATGCTGTCAAGCTATCAGTTCTCTGTGAAGCCACCGTTTTGTTGATCAATACTGTTACAATCCTTGTTTTCTTGCTTACGGTTTGTCCAGGTAACGCGCTCCTTCGCTGAACAAGTTTTTTGAAAAAAAGAATTTGGAGTTTCGCAGATATGAATACGTGATTAGATGCAGTTTTTCAAGCTGAATTTCCATTTAACTTTATTTTTTTGTGAAAAATAGTTTTTCGTTTTGAAAACGGGGTTTGAAAGGTTGCAAAAACCGCAATTTCAATTTTTCAATTCAAGAATTTTCTCAAAATAACTTTCTAAAGACATGGTTTGGAAGAGAATGCGATTCTTCACAAAATGGCTCAATTAGTTTTAAGTTTTACTGTTCTTACTGAGTTATACAATTTTGTATAGTTTCCTACTTGCTGTACAATTTTAAAGCTTTGGGGAGGAGACAGCGACATGGGACTTGCGCAGATCGGCTGTAAACATGCAAAACTAACTGATTTACGAAAATCAGTCATGCTTCGTACTTCAAATGCGGAGAAGAAAACAGTGCGTTATAGCGTAACGATGGTATGAGTCGGTTTTTACACTGAGCAAAGTAGATAACTCCTTAATTTTTCTACCACTAGATAGCAAATTTTTTGAATTCGATACTGTAGGTTCAGGAGCACAAGAGCCGTCAAATGCCTAGTTCGTTTCCGTTTTTAGAAAACTGAATTTTACTGTGTCAAAAGCGTTATAGCGTCAGGCGCGGACAAGCCGCTTAACAGTTCCTGTACGATGCTTAATTGAGAAACTGTTTCAACGAAGGTGGACTGTATGAGACAGCATGTGTCGTCATCTTCATTGGAACCAAAAATGGTAGTGTCATTTAAATCGCAACAGGAAGAAAACTTATCAGTTACGCAGAACGAGAACGTGTTGGAGTTAGAACAAGATCCTTTCCTGAATGAGGGTCAAGTCAAATATCTAC